GCCATTTCTGCAATCACTAATGAAAGATGCAAAGTCAAAATGTTAAATGATGATTCTGGTGCAAGTACAAGTGTGAAAACAACACTGAAGTCAGTCTCATAAAGGATTACTGGTTCGACGTCTTGGGTCTAAATTAGAAGCACGACCGCGGTGATCTCCATCAAAAGCTTTTCAGAAGATTCTTTTTTGGGTGTTTTTTTTCTCAGATATTTGACTAATGCAGAAAACGACAACAGAGAACAACATTGTGTGAACACGCTACTTCCAAGTGGGTAGATAACTTCAAGGTCAGAACAAATCAAACGTTGTTTTTTTTTTTTTTACCATTTACATCTCTGGTGTCAGCCATCCGTTAGTCTGCTAATGGAGACACGGTGCTGTGTGAAGATAGAAGAAAAAGGACGCCATGCATAATAACGACGCACCTCTGGCATTGCGAACCATGCAGGAGGGGTTTGTGATACTCAAAGGAACCAAGTTGAGTGTCTTGTTCATCGGATTTTTAGGGTCTAGAAATGTTGCTGAATGACTGAAATTACACGGAGCTCATCCGAGCTCCTGGACCGAGTTGCTTCGATTGGACCCGAACACAACACAAAATTGATAACTGATACTACGGTGACGTGGCGCCATGTAGAGGATCAACCTAGCAGAACTCAAATATTTCCAAATGAAAGCTCCTTTAATATTCTCGTGAAAAGGAAAAGCATCGTTGTCGCAAAAACATGTAAAAATCTCGGTGATGGAGTGACCAACTCCGTAAAACTAGCAGTGTGCCACGTATCTCATGTGTTTTACTGAGAATTTCACATTTTCTTCTGACAGAAAAAGGTACATTGACTGGAGGCTTTCGAAATGTGCAGATATCCTAATCCTGTTCCACCTTTCATCCTTCACCCTCTCTAGAAAAATAGGCTTACTCTTCTGTTTTTAAGACGGCGGCTTCCAGACCTTCGCCGTCTATGTTTAGTGCATTTAAGTGAGGATTAGCATTGTGCGTCTTGGAGTCACTGCTAAAGGCACTTTCAGGTTGGATGAGGGCCCCGCGTTCCTCTTTGTTTCCGTTCAGCCGGTCTGGCTCGTCGTTGTCCTCCACGCCACTCTCCGTGGTCGAGCCGCCGCACAGCGCTGGGGAGGATTTCCTCTCCTCTGGCTTCTTTTGCTCCTTCACCGCATCGTGTCCGCACGTAGGAGCAGGCTTATGAGCAGGCTTACTCTGTGGGACAAAGGAGGAAGGATTTTAAAACTGATGCCAAAGGCGGTCGGGCTGCAACAGCGACTGCGAGGGTTCTTCTTTAAATCATGTGCAATCTGGAGAAAATCCAGATGTGGGCTGAAAGTCCTGGTGACAAACGAGACGTTAATTATGAGTCAAATAAAAGGGTGTTAAACAGAACAAAGACCGGCTGAGGGGCCGTTTAGTTCCCACGCGTCCTATGCTGAATGCTCAAACAATGGTTATGGGTTCTGTCGTTGCCCCGTGATTAAACAGTGAAAAGAGCAACAGCTGTATTTTGATCTTTGTGAAGCACATGCAGTCCATGTTGAGACCAAATCATATGATTATCTCATTGTTAAAAAAGCAAAGGGTAGTAGAGGTCTATTCCCCAGTTTTTGAGGAATGTACTGTATATTTCACCTCTCCCTGAATAAATCCATTCAATTTAAAACTGCACGGACGTTACGCTTAACGCCGTGGGTCGGGATTGAATAGTTGTTTCCTGCTATATTGTTGCTTTGAATTTCTAATTTAGTACCTTTATATACACCCTAGAGGTGTAACACTACACATATTCGTATTGAACCGTTCGGTACGAGGCTCACGGTTCGGTACGCGTTATGAACCGAACAATACGTTTGAATAATACTAGTGCATTTGGAAGATGCAGAAGCTTAAATTGTGGGAAATATAATGTTCTCTCGGTGGAGCCACTGCGCTCAACCTGGCAACCAACCCAACGTAACAGACAACATGCTGTCTGACACGCCCACCACGCAAGAACAACAATTCTACACACTATGCTAAGCTAGCTTAGCAGGAAAACCAACAGCAGCACACACGCTACAAACTCTCCCCGCAGCGTTTAGGTAGCTCCTCCCTACCGATTCAAACCGGGCTAAAGGTATGGCGGATATGAGACGCTGCTCTGTAGTCGGAAACCAGGCTGTACGAACATGCTTCATGCTATTGAGCCCTGTGACACGACTCATTCACCAGCCTATTTCTCCAGATCATAATTCCTGCTTTGTAAAATAAAACAAAATCCCAAACAGAAAATCAAATGTTCGAGCTCTCGCTGTTGCTCTGCCAACAGACGGCCGGACGTCATGGACTACACAAAGCTAGCCGACTGTAACGACACAAATAGGCCGATGTCTTAATCCAGCATCTCAGAAAGCAGCAACAGTGCAGCAGATCTCCGGCCTCCTCCCTCCTCCAGAGATCAGAGAGAGTGTGACCTTCTTTCACTAAAGCACAACAGCAGCCCACGTGTTAAAGACAAAACAGGAGTTGCTTGCAGCTTCCTGTACACAAATTCATCCCCCATTATTCAAAGTAAAGAAAGAACATACTTTATGATGGCATTTCTGCTTTTTTGCTGTATTGAACCGTACCCAACCGTGGCACCACTGTATCGTAATGAACCATACTGAGAATTCTGTGAACCGTTACACCCCTACTACACACGTTTATAAACTCTCACGCAACTTATGCGGTATAATCCAAGTCATTTATCCAGCCGTATGCTCTCTGCTTCCCAAACATGCACAACTTCACTAAAACATTACTATTTAAAACACTTGGGAGACTGTTTATGCAGAAGTGTTTGAAATGCGAGAAGTTTTCTCCACAAATTCAAGGTAACACGGGGCGAGTGATTGATAACTGGTCATTCTGTAGGTGAAGTATTCCTTTAAAGTGACTTGTTGTTGAGGGTCACTAAGCACCCTCCAGTCCAGCAGGGCCTGAACAAGTCTGCCCTTCAAACTAATTTGGTCCGGAGCACAACTTTTGGTGAGACTGCTTGGACATTAGAAATGGACATTGATGATAATTCCTAAAGATTTCAGACACTTACGTGAGCCTTTCACACATGAACATCAACAGCGTCTATGGATTCCATATTTGCAGAGTGAGGTTATTCATTTAGAACGTCAGATGTCTTCAATTGTCTTATTGCTGCTTCGTGTTTTTCAGACTGCGGTGGTTGCACATCCATGTGTGTGATGGCTTTGTTCAGACTAGACAGGGCCGTTATAGAAAGAGCCACAATGCTCAAGTGATATTTGGGAGAACTGAACAGAGCCAAGTAGTGATATCAAGGAAAAAGATGTGTTCTAAGGTCACTAACAGGCGCTAAGGAAGCCAACAATGCTGCACTATTAACTCCTGTCTATTCCATGATGTTCCACAGGGCACAAGCATAGAATGACAACACATTCCGTGCTGTCGAATGAAATATGAGGAGGCCGTGCTGGGCTGATGATTTGTGTAGTTAAAAATCAATCTAAACAACTTTAAATCAGCTCATCTATTGCATTTCCTGGTTTGTTGAATATTGAATGTTGCGTTTAAAAGCGTAATAATTGATTTCCTTGATTCAAAGTTATGTAAAAGTGCTTATTAATTAATGCACTTACCATCTCCGCCAGGCTTATTTGTGACTCCATGCACATGGTCCTCCTGTGGTTGCAGTGATAAAAAAATTGTATTTTTTGAAAAACTTGTTTTATTGACTGGTTTATACGGTCATTGACTGCTGACTCGTCACTCCTCTTAACCGGCCATTAGCGGCTGCAAGGTATCAACAACTGCTTCAGTAGCAAAAATAATTTCCGGTAATCGACTAGGCGGAAAACCAAGAGGCAACCTCCGGGTCTGAAAAGTGAAGCCAATGTAGAAGTGCCTTAAACCTGCATTCTCTCTAATGTCCATCAGGGGGCGACTCCTCTGGTTGTATAGAACTCTATGAGAAAATGGCTCTACTTCTCTCTTGATTTATTACCTCAGTAAACATTGTAAACATGAGTTTATGGTCTCAATCTCAAATCTTCGATACAGCATGATGCTCATTTAGAGTCAAATAGACCATAAAGAAGGGGATGCTTTAGGGCGGGGCTACTTGTGATAACAGGTCTCTACCACGGGGTTGTCTGGTGTGGGAGTTGTCTGTGTTTTTGTCTTACAACTTTAACCCTTTCACAGTGTGGTTTTAAAATTGGCCAAAAGTTAAATTGGCGATGGCCAAAATGCCAAACTTGAAGCTTCAAATTCATAGTCCACAAACCAATGGGCCATGGTGACTGTGTCCACTTCTTATATACAGTCTATGCTAGAAACAAGCCATACCCAAGTCTAGCTCAAAAACTGATTTTGGTCTCATTTTGACCCGGAGCATCTGCAGATTTATTCCACCCCCCGTATGTTATGATCCACTAAAGTCAGGCCCAATACGAGATGAATAAATCTGTGTGGTCTTCGCTGCCATCTTAAGTGAGAATAAACTCTTCTTTGTTTGGGAGGTGAGAGACACACCTGGTGGAGATTTACTGAGTGCTCTTTTCTGGAGACCGGCATGTTAAGTTGCCGTCACATTTATGTAAAGAAGTGCGTCTCTGAAAGGGGCTTAATTTAGTGTTGATGGGAAAACATAAGCTGCTAGTAGACAAGCATGAAGCCGAATCCGTCTTCGGAATGATGACATGCAACAAGAAAACTCTTTTTTAACCGTGGACTCATCTCTCTGCTTAGTGAACAAACAATCTACTCCAAACTGAAACCCAATGCATCCAGTGACAAGCTGTGAAATACATAAAGACAGAAGGACAAAAGGGAAAACGGACAGTCCCGATCTCTGTGACTCATCCCTCACTCACCAGGTAAGCCATCTGACTCCTGAAGACCCGAGCGTGGTACCTGCCTCCCCGACCGAACGTCCTGATGACGGGTGTGGAAATCACTCCTCTGGGACGACTGCAGAAGACAGAAACAGGTCCACATGGTTTACAAAAAAATCTTCACACAGTACGTCTCGCCTTCTTTCTGTGCCTACCCTCTGTTTGGTCCACCGACAGACACCACCTGCACGGGGAAGCCTCCTCTTCCTCGGGGGCGTTGACTTCCAGCCCACTGGCCCACCACAGTGCCGGCTATCTCCAGCTTCCCACCCTGCAATGACATTTCTTCGAGTCCTTCGAGTCCTTGTAGGAGGGAGGAAAAAACAATAATTCTGAGGTATAAGACTTACCTGACATAATTCATGTCAGGTGCTGCGACATTCTCACCGGTTTAGCTCACTGTACTCACCAGGCACCACTCTGCCTCTCCCCTGAGGGGGCGGCGGGTAGAAGAAGCCCACGGGGGGGTAGAAAGGCATCCCGTGAGATGGAGGTGGTGGTGGGGGGAACGGAGGAGGATGAGGTGGCCGAGTGAAGTTGAGACCTTCCAGGATGCTCCGACGCATCTTCTCCACCTTGGCAGCCAGCATAACCTGTAGGGAAACAAACCAACACTTGTTAATCTCTACTGTCAACATTTGGATGACTTCAGATACCCAGAAACTATGGCCATTAACAAGCGAGAATTAATTCTTGTTGTGCCCAGTTCTCTTGCTTCTCCAAAATATAACCCAGTGGTGTCCACACCAAAAACCAAGTTTGTAAAAATGGAGGCAACCTGTTGTGTTGGCGACAGGTTTCATTTTCACCTTTATCGTTGCACAACCAAGTTTTTCAAATGCATTCGTTTGAGCATCACAAGTTGAGTGCCATGTAGTTCCATTCAAGCGGCCACCTCCGGTGCTGACGAGTGAAGCCAACGCGGAAGTGCCAAACTCTGCAGCCGACCCCAAAAGTGAATGAATAGGCTCGTTGAAGATGATGCTGCGGCTCTCAGAGGGTTAACAGACTGCTGTGTGCTTTACTGCCAGAGAGGATCTGATGTTCCAGAACAGTAATAGTTGTTTGATCAAATCATTATGGCAGTAAGCCTTGTTTACCTTGCGATATTCGTACTTGTTGTACTGGTGTAAAGATGATTCATGAGCTCGGTGACGACTGGAGCGCAGCAGAAAGAGCGGACGCACCGTGTGTATAGCATAAAACGTTTGGAACGCTGGCTGTTTGAATATGACCCTGCATTATTAACTTCATCAGCGGGCAATCTTCTTCCTCGCCTTTTTGCTGGCACGTGTCCAAACAAGAAAACAAGTCGTATTTTCACATTTTGACTCTCCGACTTGTTTTCTTGTTTCTGCCTCTTTGGATTTAATCCAACAAACAAAGTATCAAAAAGTAGCTGCTTTAGGAAAAGCTCGAACAGAATATAGTCGCACTGCTCATTTAAGAAAGGCCACTGCAAAAAACGACGGCAATAAATCAAATATGTCTGTTTCTAATGACTAGTGCTAGCGTTAGCATAAGCATCATGACTAACGCTTGCTAACACCAGCATCTAATTTTGTTCCAGAAAGAAACATAGGGTTCATCCCAAGTCTCTTAATTGCATCCCCGTTTCCCCTCACTTGCATCCTTTCCTTGCATCCCAGTCCCTCCCACCAGGGATGCATGGAGAGAAGAAACGAGGAAATATGTTTTAAGATAAATGAGACGTCCTTTCCTCTGAAGTGTCTCGTGAAGCAATGTCTGTTTCTAATGATTGGCGGATCAGCTAATCACAGCTGATCACAGCTGTTAGTCAGCTTTAATAGCTGGAGAGACTTTTGATAAGTTTGTGTCTGTTCACATGATCACTGTACTTAATAATAGTAACTAATAAAGACACAGATATCATCACTGCCAGAGTGGAGGTGTTTTATCTTTATGTAGTCCGTTACCTCTTTAACAAACTGCATTGAGTATTTATACACAGTCTGTGGTATTTATACTGTGTTCTGTTTGTAAGCGCAGGACCGATTTCTACCGAATGCGTTTGTGTTATTTATGATTTATTTGCGTCAGTATGTTTTGAAATTCTGATTGTGACGTCATTATTAAATAACCCAGAATATGATTATGTTTCTCTTGAATACTGGAATTTATTTATTACGCTCCTTTCAGGTTAAATCGAAATTATATAACTCATCAAACCCGACACTCGGGAATGATCCGCCTCACATGACTGAATGATAAATTATGTAAAAGGTTTTTTGTCTCTCCAGCGCTCTCTGACTTTAATTGTATCCATAATAAAGTTATTGAGAAATATATCAGATCATGAAAAGACAATTTCTTTCTAATAAATGAAGAAAGTTGTTTGTGGACCTTGTTTTTCAGTTTTTTTATATGAACATATATTTAAACCAGATGGTGAATCAGAAAACTAATTAAATATAAAGCTTGAGTTTAATCTCTGATCCATCTTGAGAAATAAGAGACATCTGTATCCACAGATGTTTGTTTCTGGCAGCTAGTGCTAGCATTAGGATGATTGTCATGACTAACGCTAGCTAACGCAAGCATTTATTTTTGGTCCTGGCTTTCATGTAGCACTGGGATTCGTTTTCTGGCTGCTAGCAAAAAGCTAGCGGTAGCAACATGGTTAACCTCAGCAGCCTGGCTAATGTCCAATGCAAGAAACAACCGTTAGAAACCCAATCACCCGGACCTCAGTGCTGTGGTAAAGGCAGTTCTACTGTGGCTGTGTAGACACGGTGCCCTCACACCGAGGCCTTTGGTCGGAGCACGTTTTGCTGACTTGTGGGCGGTGGGGATGAAGTTACCTGACCATCACAGAGGTCAATGAGCTGGGCCTTCTCCCAGTTGGCCCTGATAAGTTTACTCTGCAGCAGCTTGCCGTCAAAGTACATCCAGGGACAGCAGTGCTCCCAAATAATAGGCTGTCCGCACGCGTCGTTGGCGAACAGGGCCATGTCCACTCCGCTCATGAACAGAGCGGCCAGCTGCACTCCTCGAGGGTCCAGGTTGTCGATCTGGAGAGGAGAAACATCCACATGTGAACTTTCCAGATGAAAGGAAAAAAAATAAACCCAGTATGTTCCTCTAAACAGCCCAACTGAGCATTCACATTGACAGAGTGCAAAGCAAAGCACAGAGCAAGCGAAAGCAGCCCATTCACTCCCGGCTGCCCAAACACAGCGGTGCACAACCTGGACGCTCTGGCACAGCATAGAGCAGACACGCCGACAGAGATGCACACAGACAGACCACAGGGACCAAAGCGCACAACTCGTGTGGATGGTTTACATTAACAAGAGGGCCAAATAGAAGGGAGCTCTGTCTGAGACATGGGAGTTGATGAACCATCCACACGTGACACGAGAACGCTTCCGAGTCACTCGGAGCATCTCTTTAGCGAAAAAGTTACGGCTTCAGGAACAACGTGCTCGAACAAAACTTTGTTTTGCCCGAGGAGGTTGTTTATAGTCTGCAGAATATGAGGAGTGTCCAGAGAAACAGAACAACATGAACTCCAACAGGAGTCGGCCAATTCTCCAAATGAGGCCGTGGTTACGTTTGTGTGTTCAACGCGACTTTTGAGATCCGATGTGCCGGATCGGACCGCAGCTGTTTTCACGTGTGAAATGAGACCTGCCTGATCAGAGGCTCAAAGGAGCGGCTGTATAACGGTGGATAAACACACTTCATTTCCTATAAATGTTTCACAATAAAAGCCTCTGTTATTATTTTAATTATTTATATTCCTTCCTGGAGTATTGATTGAAGAATCACCGATAACACAGTTCTGCTAATTTAGTGATAAACACATTTTCCTACTGATGCTTCACACTAAAATCCCCCATTATTTTGTAATTCTAAAGCTTTTACTTTGAAGAAGCTAAAATCTGGAAATGTTGCGTCATCATCAGCGGTAACTTAGCAGGTCTCAGCTGTGCTTCAGACTTGGTTTTTTTTTTTGGGGGGGGGGGGGGGGATATTGTAGACCTACGTTTGATAAACTGTCTGGATTGTGTCCACACACCACTGAGATCAGAACTCAAAGACCGCCAGGCCACCTCGGCATGTGGTCTGGGTGATCGGATGGTTCAGACTCGACAGGTAAAGCATCCTGGTGTGATCGGATGACAAAAGACAAGTGGAACCACGGCCTACCTGACAGTTACAGCTGTTAAATAGAGACAGATCAATTGGAAACCTTTGACAGGACGGCTTATTACGGACAGGACTTTCATGACGGTGCGTGCGTTTTTCAGACACTCCCCATACAATAAACGCTACACAATCACCTTCAGGTCCTGCAGCTGGTCAGGCTCATAAAGTTTAGGAGAAAGTGCTTGGGCTAGGAAAGCATCAAGTTCGTTACGACGCAAAATTCTTACTCCTGGCCAATGTAACATAAACCTGAAGCAAAACACAGAAGGTTAACAGCGTTACAAATACCAAAGGACTGTGTTCAGAACGCCTCCCTCCCTTCCATATTACTTCACACCGGAACAGTGAAACAGACGCACTTGGTCCGTCTACTCACCGCAGCACACAGCAGAGCACCAAGAGGGGCGTGGGGACGCTGGCGGGGTTCAGCATGGCCGACGTGTCGGAGCGCATGCAGGCCAGGAAGGCTCTCATCCTGCGGTTCTTGTCCTCCACAGCCTTCCCCAACCACAGCTTCTTGAGGTTGGGACAGGTCCACTCCCTGAAGGGCAGCGCCTCCACCAGCTCTGGAGTGTGGGGAGACTTGCCTTTGTAGGCGGCCCACTCTTTGACCATGACATGTGGATCTGGGGGGGGGGCAGAAATAACTAGAGATCAGGCAGGAACGCTCCATCATGGCAAAAATCATTATCACTCTTATTACGGTCAATGTTAAGATCATGATCATTTAACGCTATTACTTTGGAAACATAATATATGTTATTATACTTAATAATATAGAATTTGAACAATGGATCTTTTTGAACTTTAAATATAATAATTATATTAATATTAAAAAATTTGAGCTGCACTAAAAAGTCAATTAATCAATTAGTTGATCAACATCAAATCAAATAGAAACAATTTTCAGAATGAATTACTGATCGTATGTCGATCTGAAATGAGGAAGTGCTGCTAGTTGTTGGTTTATAGCATTGTAAACTGAATATCTTGGGTTGATGGTCTGTTGGTCACATCATTTGAAGTCATAGTTTGGAAATTATGACAGACATGTTTCCATATTAGAAATACAGGCCCAGAAACCTCGATACTGCAGGACTCACATTCGGGGGGGCAGTGGTTCCTCATGGCGAGCCTCTCGGCCTTCTTCCTGGCCTCGGCCAGGCTGAAGAGCACCCCGTAAACATACTGGCGGATGGGCCGAAACAGCTGCACCGCTGAAGGCAGGTCTTTGTTGGCTTCATCTTCGATGGTGACAGACAGCTTGATCTCTCCCTGCAAAGAAACCCAGTTATCTAAACGCTGCACAACGTCTGTGTACGCGGAGCACCGATTTGACTAGAAAGGTCAATACTTTCTCTGGTTGCCCGTTCCTTTAGTTGAATACAAAAAGACCAGTGTTACAAAATAAAAGCTACGAGCAGCTTCAAACCCAAAACATGAATCAGAGTGAGACCAGAGTCGGACCCCCCTGACCTTGGTCAGAGCGTGGTAGATGTAGGGGTACATGAGGCCCTTCTGGTGTCTGTGCTCGGCCACCCGCAGGACCTCGGGGGCCACGGCGGGGAGGGCCGGGATGGTGACGTCCATGTGGTTCCTGGTGGGCATGGAGAGCAGCGAGGGGATCTGGGCTCTCAGGCCGCGGAGATCCGCAGCGGGGGTCACGCAGAGGTCGGCCTGAGGACAGAGGGGACACAGTGATGTCACCTCTGTCGCCTGCTGACACTTGTAATCAGTGTTCCTGACGCTCCACTCACGTCAGTCAGGTCCCCCGGGTCTCCCTCTGGTCCGTTTCTCTCCCATCCTCCCCTATGGGCACTAACATGACTGAAGACACAGCAAACATGATCAGTGCCACCGTTTCATATCAACAGAGAAGATTAGACAGTCTTTCATTTGAAAAGAACTGCTGGATGTGAGGCAGCTGTTCTGTAGAGATCTACCTTTGTCTACAATCTAAAAAGACAAGAGAACATCCACTGATCATGACATCTAACATTAAAGAGACAGTGGCCTTATCTTCATCCACAGCAGGCAGGGAAATGATTCCAACATGCTAAACAGAGGTGGGTAAACGCACCACCCTCCACCCCATCAAGCTCTGAGCAGAAGATGTCTAGAGCAGAGCAGTGTCGGGGTTTGTCATGACTGTAACATTAGAACAACCTGTTACGGATTTCAAATGTTGTGTTGCACATTATTTCAAATGAGGAAGGGAGGGCAATGGCAACTTGCTCCGCAGAAAAAAAAAAAGAAAAAGAAAAAGAAAAAAAAAAAAGAGCATTTAGAAGACTACATGCTTGAAAAGTAAAAACTAAATCTGGAGGTGTGGTGTTAGAAGTGAGTTTACCAGACCTCTGCTGCAGGCTACATTAGCTGCTACTAGCATAAAGGTGTGACAGATGTTTTTGCGCGGACTGATTGCATCCAAAGTTACAAACTAAATGTGCTTCAGGTAAGAGCACTCCTATTGGCTGCAGAGGGAGAATATTCACAACGCAAGGTGAAATATCCACTACGCGTTTGGTCTGAACAGGACAAGTCCATTGTTATTTCTAGTTTTTACATCATTATGCGTCTTCCCAGAGGTGTTCCTTATGTGTTCAGATCCAAACATTAGCGTTCTGTGTGAAAGTGCTCATGACAAACACAATAGAAAAATGTTATTGACGTGGGAATGAATCGCACAGAAAAACATGGGCAGTGTGTGAAGCCTTAACAGCTGAAGAGTTTCAGTAACAGAGAGGAAAGTGTTGCGTCCGACTCACTTGGTATTTGTGCCCGAGCTCTCCTCGTCCTCCTCGGAGAACGAGGAGGCGTTGAAGAGAGCGGCGTGGTCGTGGGGGTTGATGGGAGACGACCTCTCATACAGCGGCGTGTGCTTCCCTTCGGGAGGAATGTCGCCGAAGCCGTTCTGCCGCGGGGGGCCCTCCTCCACAGGGTCCGAAGCCAGGCCGCGCTCCACCACGGGGTCCGGGTGCTGGACCTGAAACGTGGAACACACGTTCTCGTCACCTGCGGGATCGGAATCGTTAAGCTCAGAGTGTGTTTCACAGTCTTACCCCGGGTTTCACGGGCAGAGGCACGTGTGGAATGGGGGGCATTTTTGGAAGCGGCCCTGCAGCGGAGACTCCCATTGGTTTAGGTCTGACTGTGACACAGACACAGGAAACATGTCAGCATACAGACTCGAGAGGAAAAGGACCTTTCTGGAGTTTGAGATTTAAAAAAATGTGGGTGTTCATATAAAGGAAAAATAAAATGTTCATTTAAATAAATATAATTTTCACAACATATTTAAAATAGCCCGATGTTAAATCTGTAAATCTGATAATGATATGTCGCTCATTTAGTTTAATTTTTTGTGTGTAAAACTATCTTGATACAGATGCTTTCGATCTGTTTTACTGGACACAGACTAAGGGACGAGGACCGAAACCCGCTATTAAAGGGGAATCGGTTCTAAATGATTAAAGACCCAAGTACTGATAGGCTCCGACGATATCGGTTCATTCATTAGTAGTTAACGGGTTTGGTGTAATTTATAATCACACATCTCCTCTGCTCTGTGTCGAGGCTGAGCTCCTCCAAACACGCACAAGAACAGATTAGCATCAACAATAGTAAGCTTCTTTTAAATGTAAAGCACTTCAACAGTCTGCAGCCACAGTTCATAAAGTAAGAAAGCTGTAAACTATTCAGGACTGAGCGATATGACAAGATGATCTCAGTGGGCTGGTTTTTAGAGCAATATTGAGATACAAGTATGATATTTCATTATCTTCTGTATTATTCACTAAACACAAGCAACACATCATTCTGTAGTTTCACCAACACAACACTGGAGTCAGTCAACATATAAACCGCTCATTATGGAGATATGAGATGAATAACATGAATCTTTAATGAGCTGCTGAAACGTAAAACATCTTTACTCACAGTGGAATGTTATAACTTGTGAACATGTAATTAAATCATCATGACATAAATGTGTAAAAAGAACACCAAGCCTGGTGTAAAATGAGTCTTACTGATCTCCAGTCAGTGTCAGTTTCACACAGACTAAAGTACAGACAGACTGTGTCTCTACCTCAGGTGGTTAAGTGTTCCTGCTGCAGCGTGGAGACTTTATTGATGCGTGAAAACATAAATAAAATAAGTCGCAGCTTTTGCGATCTGAAAATTGCGCTCCATTCCATCTCCATGTCTGTTTGAATGGGATGAAGCTATTAAGCAGGTATCTGATGTATCCGTTTCTGATCCATCATTCAGCTGACTCCTGTACTAGCCAGGTCAACAAAGACCAAATCTGACAGCTACTCCGCATAGAAACAAACACCTGCAACATAATTCAGGGCCGTGCGGCATCATTAGACAGAGACCCACCTAGCTGTGGAGGGGGGTGGGGGGGGCTGCTGGCCACCGAGTAGTACTCCACTGCCTTGTTGAAGCGGAGAACTTTGTCATCGGTGCACGACTAAAAGAAAAACAGTAGATCAGATGAACACACGCAGCAGCCGGAGGACACCACAGAAGAAGAAAACTCCTCCTTTAACGATTACTTAAGAAGGTGTAATGTGTGGCCACATGCTCTAAAGAAATCTCTACTAACGAGTCCATACCATCGAAATGTACAGTTATAAAAAGATTAAAAAAGCCAACTACTACGTAACAGCTGGTAAAGAATTCGCAATGCTGTGTTTACTGTGACAATAACCGGAGGCTGTAGGGTTGGTGTAAATATATGTATAATATGTTTAATGATAAAATAACTTGTATCTTTGTTCCGTCAGGAGACTACTTTGCCATAGAGCGATATGGATCATGATGCTATTGAGAGATATATATATACACATCATCTTTAATGCAATAAATAGATAGTCTATATGAAATAACCTCACGGTTTTGTACTCTTGTGTGAATTAAATTCTTGCTAAATAAAAAGTATCTTATTTCATTAGGAACTTGAGGGGAAAATAATCAGATTTTCTGAGAAAGAGTGTTTGTTATTCTCAATGGACCCTGTCCCTTCTACGTTTTCGTCCTCTTGTTGGACTGAGGACAGACTGGACGCTGCAGAGACTCACTATCGTTCCAGGGTTGAACAGGACAGGAGGCTGCTTAGCGTGCTCGTTTCAGTACATATCTCTAAAGTCAACACTGTAATCGCTTCACATTCTGGTGATAATGTTTGTTCACTGTTTGAATGTAACAACACACACATTGCACATTTAACTTATGGACAGAGTTGCTATTTTCTGTTTCTGTCCATTCAAATCCTCTTTTTTGGTTTTGGATGGCTTAAAAAGCAGAAGTGCTCTGAATGTTTTATGATCAAATAGAAACTTTGCTTTTTCATACAATCCTTCAATCAAATGACCCTCACATCAGTCGGTACACAACCGTTCCCTGTTCTCATGTCTGCTGGTGATTCACTTTTGCTCCTTCTATTCCAGGGCACACTAATTACATTTACCGGATGTGTTGTCGAAACTGTTTTTAGGACAATGTGCTGCGAAACAGAAAACAAATCTAAAGACATTTGAGGTGGTTCAAAAACAAAAATGAGAAGAGGAAACGGTGACTGTGGTATAATGCACGATTCTATCCTGTACAGTGGGATCAGAACATTTCTCACTTCAACAATTCACTGAAATGACGGAGGGTGCAAAAATGCTGTTACTGAAAAAAAGTTTAAATAAACCTTCCATTGTAGAATTTATATTTCATACCAAACGGTGTATATTATGAAGCAAGGCCAGAGAACTAAAGCAAAGGGCAGGACTCTCACTTGAGTCACAGGAGCTTTGAAGTATAACAATTAAGTTTCATAGCAGATAAAATATGTCAAAAAAAAAAATATATATATATTTGAATCCAACCTTGTGTTGATCTTTTCTTTCTCATTGTGTTACATAACTGCAGCGCTGTAAAGCTATAAATCTATATTCAGCTCATTATGAATGTTTCAGTGGGATCCTGCTCACAGCTTTGAACCAAAAACCCGTTTGATTGTGAATATTCATTTGACAACATGTGCGCGATCTGCCCGCATCTTATCCATCCGTCTAAACGCAACGCCACATCGGCTACCTCTCATACCTGGGAATGCTTGAAGATTTCCTTAGCAACGGCCTCCAGGTCGGCGATGTCCGGAATGTTGCGGACGTAGTCGGCCACAGCCTTGATTACAACATCGCAGGGTGGGAGCACCAGCTGGTGGGCACGCACCTGAGGAACCATCACAGGTAGACCACTCATGTCTTACAGGGAGAACTACAATTAGCTGCAGTGTACATCCATGTCTGTCCAAAATCACTTCAGCATATTATCCAATTAAGACATTTGTGTGAAACTGTCATAATTCGCATATGAATTCTTGAGAATTTTTTTCTTGAAAAAAAAACCACAAAAACAAAAAGAGGGATTCTGCTAGATATTACCAGGCGGCAAGATCCTGTTCTGCCGAGTGAAGCCAATGAGGAAGTGCCTTAAACCTGCATTCTCTCTACTGTCCATCAGGGGGCGACTCCTCTGGTTGTTTTGAAGTCTATGAGAAAATGACTACTTCTCTCTTGATTTATTACCTCAGTAAACATTGTAAACATGAGTTTATGGTCTCAATCTCTAGTTTCAAGTCTTCTTCAATACAGCATGATGTTCATTTAGTAAATGATGGTCCATTTAGTGTCACATAGACCATAAAGCAGAGTACCAAGTGTTCTGCCAGCGAGCCACTGTTTTGCTTTTCTCTCGTGTTACTTTCCAGATATCAGTGAGCATACAATTCCACACTTGTCTTGGTCGGTGTGTTTGGCCAAATTACAGAAATTGAACAGCAATAAATTCATTGCCTTGGCCCTTACACACTGAAGGAGATTGATGGGTAAACAACTGTCCGGGTGACGGCAGCTGCAGAACGAGACACTTCATTTCAGCGATATCAAGATGGCAGCAGTTTTGGTTACCAATATTTGCAGTGTCCATGTGATAAAAACATTTTTATTTGTTGAAGATGAGATTTTTTGTCCCAGGTTGAATAAAGACTACTGCAACCAATAAAATGAGATTTATTGTAGTGTAAATATGCATTTGTTTGGTTATCTTTTCAAATATATGTATACATAGAGTGGTTCTTTTTTTTTTATTCGATGCTATTTTAATGATAAAATGACAATATAATACACCATATTTGGGGAAAATTGCATGCTACATTTTTTATCTTTATTACTTTCTGAAAGATTGACTGGGTGCCACTGATGGGAGCTAAGAAAAGAGTAGAAAGCAGTGAAGGCATGCAAGTAGTCCGTCAGTCCTGTTGAGCGTCATGCAGCAGTATGGAGGGTAGTTAGCCTCAGTCGGGCTGCACACGTAAACCAGATGGCTTTCTGTTTAATCAGAACCAGTCAATGGAAAACTAACAGCTGAACCATTTACACAGTGTGGCACTGCTGTCATGCAAGTGTTTGAGCCAACCATTCACCAACCCATCACTATCCTATTTCTGTATCCAGTATTGCATCGGCCATGCATGAACACTGAGCCAAACCGCTACGTCCTGCTGGAAGCTGGAGGTTAAGCTAACGGCGTTCTCCGCATTTACAACTTTTGGCAATACAGCGGTGCTAAAATTCAGTCTTCTTTTCCAGAAAGATCCTTAACGGTTTCTGAATGATTTGCTGTCAAACCTGCAGAGGAGGCAACAAATCACTGTTTTGCAAGCTACAAGTATTTCTCAAGTCTTTGCACTCAAGTCCCAAGTCAAGACCATCAAGCCAGAACAGGCAAGTCCCGAGTCCAGGCTGACATGTCCCAAGGCAAGACTGGCAAGTTTTAAATCAAGTCCCAAGGCAAGACTGGCAAGTAGCAAGTCAAGTCCCAAGGCAAGACTGGCAAGTCCCAAGTCAAGTCTGGCAAGTTTTAAATCAAGTCCTAAGTCAAGACTGACAAGTAGCAAGTCAAGTCCCAAGGCAAGACTGGCAAGTCAAGTCTGGCAAGTTTTAAATCAAGTCCCAAGTCAAGTCTGGCAAGTTTTAAATCAAGTCCCAAGTCAAGACTGGCAAGTAGCAAGTCAAGTCCCAAGGCAAGACTGGCAAGGCAAGACTGGCAAGTAGCAAGTCAAGTCCCAAGGCAAGACTGGCAAGTAGCAAGTCAAGTCTGGCAAGTTTTAAATCAAGTCCTAAGTCAAGACTGGCAAGTTTCAAATCAAGTCCCAAGTCAAGACTGGCAAGTTTTAAATCAAGTCCCAAGTCAAGACTGGCAAGTAGCAAGTCAAGTCAGGCAAGTCCTTTTTTTTGTTTCTAGAACTAAACAAGTCCTAATGCACTTTTCACCATATGTAATGCCATTAGTGTCTGTCTGGAATTTTGGACCAACACATTTTGCAGACTGCAATTTGTTTAAGTTGACAACCGCATATTTTTTGTATGTGAATCAAATTAGCTTTGGTAATGCCCAGTAATATTACATGAGTTCTTTATGCTTCTCTACTGCAACTTCATTGGATGCTAATGGATTTGGTTCAAAGTGGATCTGGGGAAATAAGTGTTGACTTCTGGGAACCTGGCGTTAGCCTCATGCTTCTTATTAGCCTGCCAATACAAATAATCTGTCCAGCTACACAAGGAATTGTAAAATAGACTAACATTATGTTAGCTGGCTATAGTTACTTTCAGTGTTGTCATCAAGTGACGTTCAATGACAAAAATAAAAAGCAAATTGTTTAAATAATGGTTTAAAACTAAATAAGTTGACCTTAATGAGTTTTTCAATTTGAAAAACTGTCTTCATTACACTCTAAACCCTGATGAAGACTATCCGTGATTTAATGTTTTTCAGACTGCCACTACCAAGAACCTTCAAAGTAAGCTGGACAGTCTCTTTTCTATTTGTTACTCAACATTTCTTCTCTCTTCTACTCTCCAACACCTGTTCACCTGTCTGCTCTGAGCCCAATCTCTCTCTCTCTCTCTCTCAAAGCAGCTACACTACACCTGTTTCACAGTTTGTTGTGTATATCTGGTCAGATTATTTGAGTTTGCAGTTTTCCCATTGTCCTGTGAGCCTCTTGAAGGACAGTTCTGTATTTGGTTGGGTTTTCTGTACTTGTTGTGAAATTTGTGAGGATGTCTTCTGCATTTGCTTGTGTTTTGTCCATTTGTTTTCCTAATTCGTAGTGTGTTGAGCTCTCATGGCCACAGCAGAAAAGCCTATAACCTACATCTTATTTAAGGGTGCTCAATTTGAAGTTTAGAGCACATCTTTGTCTCCACACGGCTCTCAACGAGGTGGGGGCTGAGCTGGTGGCTAGCAGCTAATGGTGCTAGCAGCTAAGGGTGCTTACGGCGCTAACAACAGCAACAGCGCTGACAGAGCTGCGCAACAACTCCGTGGGAACAGCTTTATGAGCCGTCATTTGGATGCAGTGCAGAGCGGCGGCCATTAGCTATAGTCAGTAGGGCACACTCGCATGCACCAACAGTCGCAGCTATGTAAACAAAGCACAGAGAAGTTGAGATTACAACACACTCAAAGGGAGAGTGACATCATTCTCTGCTCAGATAACACATTACTCCACTATATCTTTACGTAGACAATGGATGTTTGATGCTATATTACTTCTCTGAATATTGTATATATAACCTTTAAATACTGCAGTCAGATGGCATTTTAAGGGAAGAGTATGAGAGTTTGGCGACCTGGACAATGGTGTGGTAGCGACCTGTCAATCACAGTAGCCCCGCCCTAAAGCATACCCTGCTTTATGGTCTATTTGACTCTAAATGCACCATAATTTAATAAATGAACATCATGCTGTATTAAAGAAGACTTGAAACTAGAGATTGAGACCATAAACTCATGTTGACAATGTTTACTGAGGTAATAAATCAAGTGAGAAGTAGAGTCATTTTCTCATAGACTTCTATACAACCAGAGGAGTCACCCCCAGATTAGAGAGAATGCAGGTTTAAGGCTCTTCTGCATTGACTTCACTCTTCAGAAGCGGGAGGTTGTCGCTTGGCTGAAACACTGTCCCACTGTTACTGTCATTCACTTACAAAGCTCACAGTACAGTAACACACCAGATGACCAGCCCAGTGATGATGAAGAGAGAAATACCCATTCAAATCTTTACCTTCAAAGATGCTAATGGATGCTCTGGACCAAGTAAGCTCCAGTGAAAGGCAGCCAAGTCTTCATCAGGCAGTATGTGATTTCCTAGAAAAAACATGCAGCAGCATAGTTGTGTTAGTCAGCCTGATTTTAAACTAGCACCTCCATGTATATTCTGTCCAGCAGTGTCACACCAACCTAGGAGCGATGCGAAAAGGACAAAGCGGTTTGGGTTGAGATCGAGCTGTCGGGCCACCTCGTGCATCAGGTACCGGCTGGTGGTGAGGCTCTTGCCGTTGCGGCTCAGCTTGAGGGCGTGGGCGCTAAAGTAGCACGGGATGTTGCACAGGGCATAGTCCGAGTCGTAGGCCACCAGGCCGTGGAAGCCGCTCTCCCTGCATAAGGCCATCACTTCCAGGTGGTGGTCCTCCATGCTCTGGACAACCTGAGGAGTGGCCACGACAAGAATTGGGCCTGAAGTTGATTAAACCTCAAAATAAACCGCTTACATACACGTGGTGTATTAGCCACTTGAGAGAAGGCTACAGGAACAGGACCGCAAACCAGGGGCGGTTTGGTTTGAGCTGCTCTCAGTGAATGAGCGGTTGATGGATGGAAAGAGAGATAATTAATAAGCTATGTATCTAAAATGTTACCGAAGAACTTATGCAGCATAATATGGATACTGACAGCAAATATAGAATTTAACACACAACACAATTTAAAATACTTCCGCATTAACAGTCTCACACTTGTGTAGGTGCGCTACTTTCCGCACGAGTCCTTAGTGTAAACAAAAGTAAGGTTTTGGTGGAGATGCATGCATTTGGTCAGTAGGGAGACACCCTGTTTACGTCAATGCATCAAGACTTTTCTCCCTTTTTTCACCATGGAGGCACGAGAGAAAAACAAGGGTTTCTTCAAGAATTCAGGGGCGAGTAGTTGTTCTGCAAACTGTCACATTGTGAGTGAAGTATTTCTTTAATAAGGTCAGTATCGACCCTGTACCAACACGGCAAACAGGAACATCCCTGATCTCTTCCCATGCAAACTGTGCAAAGGTGTGTGATAACAGCTCTATAATGCTCCATGCAGAAAGAGAGGCAGCGTTACTGTTCTATAGAGGTAATCCACTAAAAATAGGAATTTCTGTATTTTGTAGTGTTCCTGCATAGCTAACATTTAGGGGCTGTCAATTAATCTGCTGATTTTTATGCTGCATTAATCATTTTGGTCTAAAAAATGTCAAAAAAAAAAAATTGTGAAAAGATAAACATTACAATTTCTCACAGCTAAAGGAGACTTTTTCTAAATGACTGGTATTGTCCAACAAGCCCAAAAGATAAACTCATAGAAAGCTAAGAAAACCAGCTAATCACAATCAGAATCGGGGGGGGGGGGGGGGTTACTAACATGATTAGGTGGACTTCCTCTCTTTCAAACTCCCCTTCTGGCTCTCTGACACTGATACAGGTCAGTGAGTCAGTAGTTTCCTGGCCTGTGATTAATGATCAAACCCATTACAGTGTTGATCCCCTGCACTCAGTCTGAGGTAAGGTCACTAAATGTATTCAAAAGCAGGCCACCGACTCCACTGCTAACACTTCATAGCGGCACACTGATTCACAGAGCCGGGGCAGGAAACTGCTCTTATCATGAGTGAAGTTGGCACTGATGACCTGGTGGGTAAGCTAGCAGGCTAACAAGAAAGCCGGCTAACGTACTCCGGCGGCGGTCCGGAGCGGCTCCGCTCAACAGGCGTCGCCAGGCCGAGTTATCACTCACCCCGACGCGGAACCTGAGGAGCGCCAGTCGGATGCAGTGGGCCATGCACACGGGAGGAAGGAACCAGACTTTGGGTGGCGGGGTGCCCTTGTTCTGGACGTGGCTGATGATCTGCTGGGCGGTCTGCCTCTCGTTCACCTGCCGCTTGACCCACTCGTGAAGGCGGCCTTTATCCAGGGCGCCATTGAAGCACACCAGGAGCTCAATGTTGCCGTGGAAGCAGGCCTTGGAGAGGGCGGCCAGGTAGCCCAGCATGTGGTTCCACTGGCCGCCGCTGACCCAGTCGGTGTAGAAGCCTCCGTAGAGCCGGTGGAGGCAGTTCTCGGCGTCCACCAGCAGTCTCAGCGGACTGTGAGGTGGTCTCTGCTGGCCGCCTACAACAACACTCCCGAGGGCAAGCTTCTGGAGGTCCACCGGCACCACAGCGCTGGGAAAGTGCTTTTCAATGTACTCTTGAAAACCCTGGACACCCATGCTGAGCGTCTGGTAGAGGAAAACCTGGAAGCGAAATACCGGGGGAAATTAAACCGAAGTGGGTTGCAGTCAGTGCGCCTCACCCCCCGACAGTGACTGACAGCCGGCTTGGAGCTGCGAATATTGGAGGAGTTGAAATAATTTCGAAAGAAACCAAGTAAGGGTGCTATTTAAGCATCGTCAGTTTTTTGGGTGAGTTGTTTTGTTTTTGGTCCATGGCTGCTTGCTGCCATGTGTTGTTTCACGGAGCCATGGCAGAGGTTGTGAGTCTGTCCGGAGAGAGGAACACATGACGACATCACGTACAGGCACGTACAGAGGCACACGAGGAACACAAGAGAGTTCACTGTTGCGTACTTCCGCAGTTCATTTCACGCAACGAAGGCAAAAGCTTCGTTGCACTGCTTTGTCAGTTAAGAGACAACAATAATTTTCTAGAAAAAGAAATCATATCATAATTGTCAATGGATAATGACTTTGACGAAGAAAAAAACGTTTTGTTTTCTGATTTATATAACGGCGCTACGCAGACAACTTTAGTTAACTCCCGTTTATTTATTTTTTAATTCAATGTTTTTACCATTACACATTGTGTATGATAACTATATGCACACAGTAGCAAGGATCACAAACATGTACAATACGGATACGCACAAGGCTAAAACAAATAGACTAAAATAAACAAAGTAGAAGGACACAGCTGGAACTTTTAGGGACATTTTTAATTTTTGATCAAAGTATCACAATAGCTTTTAATTTTTACTTTAATAAATATGATGGGAAACACCTTATGACATCATTTGTGGGTGTGGCTAAAAATGCATAGTACTGTAACTATTTAACAACGTTTGAGAAGCCAGCGGAACTGGGGTTTCTAAAGGCTGGATGTGAACTATCTTGACAAGTTTGAATCTGTGATTTAGGGTTCTGTTTCCTGATTTGTGTGTGTGTGTGTGTTTCTTCTCTTTCTCTCTCTCTCCCCTGTGTTCTCTCCAGCTGCTAATTGGATGATTGGTTTCCACCTGTGAGGTCCAGTCATGCTGCTCATTGGTTCCCACAGACTTCCAGCTGGCCAATCATCAGTCGGGACCCTCTATTAAAGGAGCAAACCTGAGAAAGTCCTTCTCTTTTTTTTTTTACAGGAAATAAACTCAGAGAGCATACTGTATGAAGTTAACAAATTATTAATTAAATTGTTTTGAGGTGTCTTTCAGGATTGGAAGCTGATTTAGCCACTGATTTAGCCTCTTTATTATATTTATTATATGCATATTTAAGTGTTCTTAATAAGATCAAGATTTGACTTTGATAGATAGAAGATAGAAACCCTTTTTATTGTCATATACATATACACATACACGAAATTTGACTTCTACATTTGACCCATCCCTGTATATAGGGAGCAGTGGGCTGCCAATGACAGCTGTATGTTCTGTAAGCTCTGGCTCTAAGAGTACGTTTATAGAGCAGCTAGGACTTTGTGTGCTCTCCAAGCTGAGGCAGGTGAAATAATGTTGTGGTGACGGAGATAGCCGTCCATCAAAAAAGGATGGAGCAGACATGTTGGGAGAAGGAGAAGACACAAGCAGGAAGTGCAACTGCTGTGTTATATCGCTTCAGGGTCCTTGAAGCGAACAAATCCTGGAGTGACGGCAGATTGCAGCCAATCACCCTCTCAGCAGAGCGAATGATGCGCTGCAGCCTGCCCTTGTCCTTGGCAGTGGCTGCAGCGTACCAGACCGTGATGGAGGAGCAGAGGATGGACTCAACGATGGCAGTGTAGAAGTGCACCATCATTGTCTTTGGCAGGTTGAATTTCTTCAGCTGCCTCAGGAAGTACATCCTCTGCTGAGCCTTCTTTGTGATGGAGCTGATGTTCAGCTCCCACTTAAGGGTCCTGGGTTATGATGGAGCCCAGGAAGCGGAAGGACTCTACAGCGTCGACGGGGGAGTCACACAGGGTGATAGGGGCTGGTATTGTTGCATTCTTCCAGAAATCCAGAACTATCTCCACTGTCTTTAGAGCGTTGAGCTCTAAGTTGTTCAGACCAGATGGTCAATCTCCCACCTAGGCGGACTCATCCCCACCAAAGATGAGTCCAATGAGGGTGGTGTTATCCGAAAACTGCAGGGGCTACCATCACCTGCAGCCATCAACCTCTGCCATCAAGAGTCGTTTGTGTCCACAAGAGTTCACATAAAAGAGACATATTCATATTAGAGATCATAATCAGTTTCTTTATGCTTTTAACTTCAGTTTGCCAGCAGATATATTTACTTACTTTTTACTTTTTGATAAATGATTATTTATTGGTTAAAATGTTTCTCAATACAAAATAATAAATCATCATATCGGCACTTAGAAATGTTAGTAGTCATTAATAAACGGTCTTGAGTTTCTCAATTTCTAATAAGCCATCAATAAAAGCCTGTCAGTCAACCAGAATAATATTTAATAATTTATTAATAAAGAATTCTGTAACCCATTATATGAAGGTCATGTCTATAATGCTGAATAAGCACAATCTTAACACATAATGTATCTATAAAGCTTCATAACAAGGCATCCTATAGGAGAATCTCATCACACGTGTCTCCTGCATTAACTTGACACCAAATCTGAAGAAACTAGAACGTCTTTAAGATGTTTTTCTTTCTGGCTGGTTTCAGTAAAGATTCTGGATCTTTCTCTGGTCTTGTTGTAAGAACAATCAGTCTGTTGAGACGGAAACTTGTCTGTTTGGAGCTCTTTCTTTTTTAAGATCCTCTGATTTTATAAAATAAGTCTCTTTCAATTCTCTTTCAAATGAAGACCTTCTTTCAGTGGTCTTGGATTCAAACTGCTTGCAGTCATCAGAGTGTTCCTGTCAGTGGGTTAAGTGGGAATACTTGTTTGTAGTTTTTTCAGCATTTTTGATTCATTTAACATGTAAGAAGTTGATTGATCCAGATGCCTCCTGGACGCCTCCCACTGGAGGTTTTCCAGGCACGTCCAACTGGGAAGAGACCCCGGGGAAGACCCAGAACACGCTGGAGGGATTACATCTCCCAGCTGGCCTGGGAACGCCTCGGGATCCCCCAGAATGAGCTGGAACTTGTTGCCGGTGAGAGGGAATTCTGGGTCAGCCTGCTTGGCCTGGTGCCACCGCGACCCGACCCCGGATAAGCGGAGGAAAATGGATGGATGGATGGATGATCCAGAAGTGAAATTTGTGTCAAAAGGGAGAGTTGGCGTCAAACTGTTCAAATACATTTTGAATTCTTCCAGCTTTTCTAACTCACCACTGAACTCAAGACAAATATCATCAACATGTCAGCCCCAAACTGTGATGTAATGACCACAGTGGTTATTGTGTTAAAAAAAAGACTCATCAAGATTATAGTAAATCTCAGACAACATTTGGTTCACATCAATGGACAGAAAGTATGTGAAAGCATTCACATTGTCCTCATGAGGAACAGAATGAATCCACATCTCTGGTTACTAGTAAATCCTTCTCATCAGCAATGAGAGCTCTGCTCTTCAGCAGCATGTCAGTGTGTCTTGTATGTAGGAGGGCAAAGCGTTCAGCAGCTTCTTCATGTGTGAGTCCACAAACATTTGAGATGAATCCTCATATGTTAAATTCAACTGTTACTAGTTAGTTTGGATACAACTTTATTTTATTTTATTTCAACCACAAGATGGCGCCATGACATGTAAAGCACACACAGGTGACACATTAATGCAGGTGATACATGTGATGGTTTGGTCACCATTGATGTGATTCTATTATAGCATGCCTTGTTATGTGTCAACATGTTTGGAAATGTATAAAAAGTGGTTTGTAACTTAGAGTTCTTGCTCGGCCCCTGAAGAAGACACATGTGGAAACGTTGGGCTTTAGATTCAGCACAAGGTTGTTGAAATTAATAGAGATTGATGAAGTGACCAAATGTTTTGACCTGAATCATTTCCTGGAATTTCTCCTCATCATCTATCAGTCCAGAATATTTTGGTTTTGTAATATATACAGGTACCTTCATACATTTTTAAGTTATGAGAAGCAGACACCTGAATATAGTGATTACGGTGTAAAATGATGTACACATGATCGGTAGTGAAATAAGGCTCAAACGCCCTTTAGCCTGAAAAGAAAAGCATATAACATGATATCCACACAGTACTGCTAGAGGGCAGCATGCAGTACGGACCTGCTTGTGTGAGCAGCAGTCAGTGGCTGACTTCCAAATCACATCTTCTTCTCTTTACCTTTAGTACATACTGCAGCTTACAAAGTAAACACATTTGCATGCGGCTTGCATAAAGCTTTCTGGCTGGCATACTTCAAAATGTGACCGGATGTAGAAGAACATCCTGGTATTTTAGACATTCTGCTTTTGACATACTACGTATGTAAGGCAAGGCAAGGCTGCTGGACCTGATGGCATCAGCCCCAGGGTCCTGAAGACCTGCGCCAGCCTGTTGTCCTGCAACACCTATACAACCTGAGCCTGAAGCAGGAGGAAGTCCCGATGCTGTGGAAGACGTCGTGCCTGGTTCCTGTACCAAAAAAGACGACACCATCTAGCCTCAATGACTACCGACCAGTTGCCCTCACATCTCATGTGATGAAGGTGCTGGAGAGGCTGGTCTTGGCCCACCTCCGACCGCAGGTGAAATCCTCACTGGACCCTCTGCAATTTGCATACCAGCCTCATGTGGGGGTGGACGACGCCATCATCTACCTGCTGCAACGAGCTCAGTCGCACCTGGATGGAACCGGTGGCTCTGTGAGAATCACTTTCTTTGATTTCTCCAGTGCATTCAACACCATCCAACCAGTGCTGCTGAGTGCGAAGCTGTGGGTGGTGGGGGTTAACGCGTCCACTGTGTCCTGGATCACTGACTACCTCACGGGCAGACCACAGTTTGTCTGACTGGGCCGTGTGCTGTCTGATGGGGTGGTCAGTGATACTGGAGCTCCGAAGGGAACTGTTCTGTCTCCCTTCCTGTTCACCTTGTACACCACTGACTTCCAGTACAACTCTGGGTCATGCCATCTGCAGAAGTTCTCTGATGACTCTGCAGTGGTCGGGTGTATAAGGGACAGACGGGAGGAGGAGTACAGGGCAATAGTGGATGACTTTGTGGAGTGGGCTGGTAGAAATCACCTGCATCTGAACGTGGCCAAGACCAGAGAGATGGTGGTCGACTTCAGGAGGAAGACGACGGCTCCACAACCGGTGAAAGTTCTGGGAGAGGACGTGGACATGGTGGAGGAGTACAAGTACCTGGGTGTCTCCATCGACAACAGACTGAACTGGAAGACCAACATCAACGCTGTGTACAAGAAGGGGATGAGTCGACTCTTTTTCTTGAGGAAACTTCGATCCTTCAATGTGTGCAGCAAGATTTTGGAGATGTTCTACCAGTCTGTTGTGGCCAGTGCACTGTACTTCGCAGTAGTCTGCTGGGGGAGCAGCATTGGAGCCGGAGACACCAACAGACTTAATAAACTGATTAAGAAGGCCGGCTCCATCATTGGCTGCAAACAAGACTATCTGGAAGAGGTGGTGGAGAGGAGGACACTGAAGAAACTATTATCCATATTGGATAACCCGGACCACCCTCTCCACCACCTCCTGCAGGGACAGCGGAGCACTTTCTCCAACAGACTGATTCAGCTCCGCTGTCACAAGGACCGATACAGGAAAACATTCCTGCCCTCTGCTATTAGACTCTAGAATAAATCACCTCTGGCCAGATCATCCTCCACATAATTACACACTGCTACACTGTTGTTTGCTGGGGTTGATTTTTGCACTACTGTTTTTCACCTAGTTAGTTCATTTAACACTATTCTATTTCATTGTATATACTGTGCATTTTTGTTGTTTTATCTTATATATTCTATATTCTGATATTTAATTTGTCCTACTCTGTTATTCTATTGTATATATTGTGCATTTTTTAATACTTAATATTTTTGGTTTCTCTGGTACTTTGCTTCTTGGTGTGTCTTGCTGCTGTAACATACAAATTTCCCCCTGGGGATGAATAAAGTACATATCTATATTTCTATCTATCTATGTATTGAGACATCTTTTTCTGGTCTACTGGATAGCTTGGTACAATGGGTATTGGAAACGCTGACACAAAAGCATTACATACATGCTGGCTACTTACAAAGAATCAATTGTCTGAGACAAATCAAACCTGGGGCTTTCGGTTTGTAAAAGGCCATGTGTCCATTTCATGTAAACATAACATGTATGTATTATTGTTTTGTATTGTTATGGTATGTATTGTTTCTTATTTATTACTGCAGACAGGATGGAAATGAAAGGGACAACCCATCTGGTCTGTTTGATTGTAGTATTGATGATTTTGGTGCCAAACTGTGAAAGAAAATGCTTGTTTACATTAAAATTAATTGGATAAATTATGCAGAATTATGAATTTTTCCCAATGTGGCCCAAAGACAACATAATATAATCAAGTTTCAAGTTTCAAAGGGTCAACGGTAAAAAAACTAAACTTTCAAATTACTATGAAGATCTTTTAACTGGTTATGAAAGTCTCAATGTAGTCCTGATCCTCTATCACCTCCATCAGTAAACGAGTCCGTCAGTGAGAAGATGGTCTGTTTCTATGTAGTTATTCTTAATGCTTTTCATCGGTGCCACAGGGACAGATTGCGGTGAAATCAGATGAAATCATGCAGGTTCACCAGAAACTCCTTCAGCTCAGACTCCAGCGGGGCCTCCAGCAGAGACCGGTCCACCGTGGACAGACCCAGATCCTCCAGCAGAGGCCGGTCCACCGTGGACAGACCCAGATCCTCCAGCAGAGGCCGGTCCACCGTGGACAGACTCAGATCCTCCAGCAGAGACCGGTCCACCGTGGACAGACCCAGATTCTCCAGCAGAGACCGGTCACCGTGGACAGACTCAGATCCTCCAGCAGAGACCGGTCACCGTGGACAGACCCAGATCCGGCTTTGCTTCTGCCTTCGAGCTGCAGTCCGAGCTCTGGAGGGACGAGGAGAGCTCAGCTGCTGGCAGCAGCAGCGTCTCCTCCTCCAGCAGTAGAGCATCTCCTCTCTGCTCCTTCTGTCCCCGCTGGGAGCCAATACCGACACCACGCTGCTGGAGAACTACGCTGTACTGCTGGACCCCCTGGAGGGAAGGGAGTCACGGGAGAACCAGAACCAGGACTGAGCGCGGCAGACTGTGATCCTGCTGCAGTAAAATGAGAGGTTCTCTAAAGGGAGTCTGGTGCTCGGATACACTACCACATTTGACGATAGACATCGCCAAAATCAACTCAAAATGACAGTTCCTCGTAGCAGCGTTAACGACAGACATGTATAGAGAGCTGCAACATTTTTGAAATATTTTTTAGCTCTTAAACACTCACCAAAAAAAAAGACAAAACTGAAGCAGTGGAGATGACAATTTCCTGACCTTTGTCCCTAGCATGGGCAAAGACACAAAACACTGGATCCTACATTTCCCATAATTTCCATAAATTAACAATGTCTCCAATAAACCTTCACTTCCTGGTGACCAACTGAGACGACACAATAAGAAGTACTCTCCGTGACTAGGAAACCTAAGTACCATTTATACCCTTTCTACAGAGAACACTCATGGCTGGTTTTCGTATGCTTCACAAAATAACATTAAAGGTTTTCAGTTTTTAAGTTTAATGTCAATAAAAAATCCAACATGTGTTGTTTGGGAATGCGTAACACATTTATTTTTTTGAATATTTACATAGATATTCATAAAAAGTAGACTGTATCAAACTACTACCCTGGAGAGTATACCTCTTACACTGTAAAGTAATAACATACACAAATCATCCACATAACAAATAATATTCAGAGAATACAAAAATGTTGTAAATTATATAAAACTAATTATGTTATACTTTACATATTTCAATTGCATTTTAAAATGGGCTTGAGTACAGTATCCTAAATGTGCAATTCATTTTGGACCTTCACTGTGGTGAAGTCTTTTATTCTGCTACAAAATACAATTTCAATTATTCTGCTCGTCCCAGTGACTTTAACATTATTAACATTTGAACCAGTACCTGCATTCATTATGATAACAACATTCAGCAGAAAGCATCTCTTTGGCTAGTGAAGCTTGAACATAGTTGAATATTTCATGAACGTAAAAGGAAACTGATGATGAATACACCAATGTGTTTTGCTGTACAAACAAATCCACACGCTTGAAATGTGCGCGCTCACAGGTCAAGCGATATCCGAAAGTGCTGTGCTCTTTGGGCCAGTTCCTTAGCAAACTCTTGAGCCTCATGCAGGGCTTGCTTGTCCGGGAAGTGCAGCGCCGCCTTCTTGGTGGCCACGGCCAGCTGCTTCAGGAGAGCACACAGGTGGTTGCTCTTACACAGGAGGCTCTGGGGGGACCCTCCCCGTTGGGCCTGCCTGCACAGGGTGTCCACCAGTCTCTGGCCAACCATGATCACCAGCTTACTTTGCGAGATGAACTTCTCCGGCGGCTGGCCGTCCCGAAGGCTGCCCACAAATCCCCCGATGGCCTTCTGAAGAGCGCCAAAGTACAGCCGGCAGTGCTCTGACAGGGAGGCCTGTCGGTCTGACTCGGAGGAGCGACGCTTGGTATCAGCCTAAGCAGTGGAGACAGAGAACGAAGAGCCTCATATTATGTCATCCGGACCAGTGTTGTCTGTATTGTTCTGACTACGAGGAAAGTCTTAAATCCTGGACAGCATCATTTCAGATCGATTGATGAGAATCACATTCTTGATAACGTCATGCTCATGAGGTAGGAACACATCCCTTTTGTTAACAGGAGACACTCACCTTGTTAGACACTGGTGTGACGGTTTCTTTTGGTTCCTTCTGCACTTCCTTCTGGTGCTTTTCAAAGTCATTCTTAGTCTGAGAAAAGTGAAAATGAAATGAATTAGTGTGAAATTTACAATTCTAAATATGCTTTAGGTTTTCCTTGGTTGAATGCCCATCATTCAGTTACCATAGTAACTCATATTATATGTGATGACGCAGGGCCTGATTGGACAGAGAGCGTTTTGTTATCCAATTTTTTACAGTTTGCTGCATCTTTTTTATTGTTATTGTTACTAGGCAACACCGAAATGAGTGCTAACGTTAGATTAACGCAAACCATGAACTGCACAGTTTAAATTACTTACAGTATAAACTTATCCGAAATCTCAAGTACGGCACTAATTTGCCTCCTGCTGTTTTCTGTTCACCGCACCAAGACAAAATGGACTAATCACAACGTTGGGCGATTTTCTTTTTACAATTCGAGGGCGCTCCTGCCAAAAAGTGAGGCGCATCGAGTGGAAAAACGTGAGGAAAACGTAAATAGCAACGTGCAAGACGCTTCAATCTCTTTGAAAACAATTACAAAAAGCCGCCCCAGGCTGCTAAAACGCTCTGTCCGACTAAGGCCTTAGAAGATTAGAAGCGTATACCTGTAGCTCTACGTAGTCGTTGTCATCCTCCACTAAGTTCCCTCCTTGTTCACTTCCGTCAGGACTTTTCTTCGTCTCTGGCTGACCTGTGGTGTTGAGAGGCTCCGGAGCTTTCTGAGGGGCTCTGAACAGTAGCTTGCCATTGGCATTGACGATGGACACCAGGCGCTTGACGTCCTCCGGAACAGTCCTCGCCACCATGACGAAGCGCTCCAGTTGGTCAGGGGTCTGGACCTGACCAGGGTCGTGGCAGAGTGTGTTGAGGGGCCACCCAGCCATGTTCAGAGCACTCACTGTTTGTTGTAGGATCACGCCTGAGTCTTCTACGATGGACAGCTGTTTAAAGAGCCTCGTCTGAAGGTTGGTGTCGGTCAAACGGCGGGCGTTGCCCTTAACATCCAGTGCGAAGCTCAGAAAGCACGTCAGAGAACACACAATCCCCTCTGCGGCCTCTTTGATCTCCCTCAGGTGTTTCTCCAGATGTTCTCTGCTCCTCCAGTGAATGCTGACAAACTCCATGAGACAGGGGACGGCCTTGCAGACAGAGTCCCGCAGGTCCAGAAGTCTGCGGCAGGCCTCGTCCTGGCTGAGCGTCACCTCTCGCAGAGGCTCGGGAGAGGACGAGCTCAGGGTCAGAGAGTCACAGGAGCTGGTGGAGGAGCTGGAGGCCGTGCTGATTCTTTGACTGTCTGCTGCAGAGAGACGCAGGGTTCTACCTCGCTCGTCGTCCTCCTGCACCAGCGACTCCCCGTTTCCAGGAAGTTCATGGAACGTCGTGCAGGCCAGGAAGTTCCTCATTCGCTGCAGACGCACCCTTGCGAGTTCATGAGCATTGCTTGAGTCGCCCCTGCACTCTAGGGGTATATGATCACTGGGAGGATCACTGATAACTCGAGCGAGGGGCTCCTCCAGGGGTGGAACCGCATATACTAGCTCCTCTGTAAGCCTCTGAGTTGGGGGCTTGTCGTAAATGGGCAGCCTTGGCAGCACTTTGGGTGGACTCGAGATGTCAGGTGAGTTGGGTTTTGGTATATCATAGAGCGAGGGAGTAGGACTGCCTCTTTGAATGGGCCAAGCACGTGCTGGAAAAGTGTCATAAAGTTGCCTGCAAATGACTTTGGAGGGGTCATAGGAACCTTGGGGTGGACTTTGTTTCTCAGGACCCACTGGTACATCATAGATCCACTCAGGCTTGCAGGGGCTGAGAAGGGTACTGAATCCACCTGTCATTTTCTGTTGGGCTTCTGTGGCCGAGGGAACAGGGATGTCATAGTTTGGGTCTTGAGGCAAAGGCGGTGGAACTGCATACACCTGCGCACAAGAACAAAGTTGTCAAAGAGGCCTTTAGACTGCATGATTTTAAAGTGAGCACATCATAGGTTCCTTGCTTCATTATTCCCTCTACATATCTGAAACTTACGTAAGAGTCTCCTGGACTGCTGCACTGTGACACCTGTCTTGGAGTTGTTGACGCCTGCGAATAGAACATCACAATAGCAGTAAAGCGTCAGCATATCTTCATATAGCCACTACACGTTTGATGCATTTTTTTGGCGTGTATTGAGCTCACAGTGAAAAGGGAAGCTTGTCTCGCCTGGCTCGGGACATCGTAAACCTCCCCTGTTGGACGGGACACCATGCTGAAGAATGAAGGCTGCAGACGAGACAGAGGGGCTGTAACATTGGGGTTGACTGGTAACATTTGCACTGCTTCGATCAAAGCTGCATCTACCTCATTGACCTCTGCATCAACACATTTATGGGGACAGTGTTTGCTCTGAAGCCGTTGGGAGTGCCGGAGAGAATCCCATGATGCATGCACTTTGCCAATTAACGCAGCTCTATAATAGAAACCATGCCGCTCATTGAATATTAGGTGGCTACTGCAGAAGGGAACAGGACTCCCCTGGAGCAGGAAAGGAAATCGTGAACATGTGGGTTCATTTCTCCCCACCCTTCTGCCGCACATGCACCCGTACAGACACTTCTGTCTTTCTGGGGTCCCTGGCGGCACGAGCTGCTGTTTGCAGTTAAAAGTGTCTGAAGTCTGTGTCTGTTGGTCTTTTATGGGCTCATAAAGACCCCGGTGCTGCATGCCTGTCCCATGGAGAGGCCCCTAGTCCCCATCTGTAAGCTTTTTTGCCAACAGGGGTTTCACAGCATTGCATTTCTGCAACAGTCTACATCTCTAATTATGAAGGTTAACACTTCCCAAGGAAAAGGCCCAACTTTGACCCCAGAGAACAAGACAGACTTTCACACATCTGTGCGATTATTCGAACGTCAATATATATTTTTCGAACTGTTGTTTTTGTCATAAATAATTTCACACTGAACGAGAATATTTTGCGGTATGAGGTAGACTTTTCATAACTTTCGCACAGCAAAGAAAGTCATCAACCAATCATGTTGTGCAGAACAGGTTGAGTTACGCCTATATTTATGAGGATTATTAAACAACAACTTGAAGGCTCTGTATGTAGAAGGTAAACTTTATTACTCCTTTCAATATTGACAAAGGCTGGCAGACCAGATCCATTCCTTCCTTTCATACTCTTCACAATAAATGCCCTGGTAATTTGCATTTTCTTGTTGTATATTCGTCACGTCGTCGGTGTATGAAGGCCTTACCAGCCTTTACATATGAATGTATGTCTAGAGCTTATTTTGTGAAAGGTAAGAAGGGAAGGAGTGGATTTGGTCTGTGGAGCCTTTGACAAGATTTAAATGAGTATTTGAGTTTGCAGTTGCAGTTGAGTCTTTGAGTTGTAGATTTGTAATCCTCATAATTATATACTACAACAACAGTATATTGATTTGCAAATTAATTGCACACAAAAAAACGCCCCCAGTGTTCTCAACATAAATCCAGTACTTGTAGAAAACCAATTTGTACCTTGTATCCCTCAGGTCCTTCTGTGCTGTGCTTAAGTGCTGGCGGGAATGGAATTTGTGAAGGTGGTAAAGGAGTGCACGGGACCTTGTAGATCACATCCATGCGTTCATAAGCTGGGCTGCTGGAGGGTCGGGGTACACTTGGGATCTGGTAGATATTTTGTGAGTTGTCATCAGTTACTTTGGGGTTTTCTACGTCATGGCGTAATGAGCCCACAGTGGTTCCAGTTTGTGGTAAAAGCTGCAGTCTGTTTGCAGGGGCCAGACCATGCCGTCCATAAAGAGAACACATCCACCAGCCGCTGGTGCCAGCCACGTTTTGATCCATCACCGTGACGATGTCCCCCTTTCTGAAAGCCAGCTCATCTGCACACTCCGCAGTGTTGTCATACAGAGCCTTCGCGAGTTTGTTCTAAAATCAAGAACAGAGAGAATGTAAATAAAGTTGAGGAGGTAAAACCTGTGGGCAGATAGTGTGTGGCACATTTTAAATGACAAAAGTAAGATACTTGACACAATGACACAGCCATGTGCCGCAGTTCCCTGGTCAGTTTCGACATTGTAATTTGCATGGTACAGATACACATTTAGAAGTTGTTACTTGAAACTGAATGTAGGGCATTTCTTATGCTGCTGTCAGGCTATGAGAACATTTCCTCTTGCAAAATGTTGCAACACGTTGCACCTATCAGTCGTCATCCGATTCACAAGGGAAAAGTCATTTTCTGATTCATAATTAACACAAATAGTTGTCAGTTTTACCCTTATTGTTAAAGTGATTGTGAATCAACAACAACAACAACAAACAACTAAGTAGACTTAAGCTTTTGTTCTGAATGTGACATCTTCCTTTGCTCACTTCCTATTTGAGCTTACTGCATTGAGGCAAATGGTAGACCAGTTTCTTCTTCCTCTTGCAGGCTTGCAAGTTAAAGTAATTTTACCCAACACATTTTGAATCAGATTTGACATGTGACAGCTACATTGGGGTAAGGTAGTTACAATGGGCCCTAGTGCACGCTATTATGAAGGACCCTACTGCACGCTATTATGAAGGGCCCTAGTGCACGCTATTATGAAGGACCCTAGTGCACGCTATTATGAAGGACCCTAGTGGACACTCTTATGGAGGACCTTATTATACACTATTTTCACGGACCCTAGTGCACACTATTGTAAAGGACCCTAGTGCACGCTACTATGACGGAGCCTAGTTCACGCCGTTATGACGGAGCCTAGCGCACGCTTTTATTACAGACCCTTGAGGACGCCTATTAAGAACTCTTGTGCATGCTAGTTACTTGTTATGAAGCGCACCCACACAAACAGACACACACACACACATAACCCTCACATTTTCAAATAGAGACTTTACATTGGACAAAATCTAAATACATACTACGTAATAATCACCATTGCATCTGAATATGAAAAAAATACCAAAGACAATAAGAAATGAAAACCATGACAGAGATGGGTTTTGAGCGCACATAAAAGAATTGGAACCTCACAAAACTACATTCAGTCCTTGATTGAGCAATGTCACGTGTTTTAGGAAGCAATGGAAAACCCCTTGAAAAGACCAATTCTCTTTACAGACCACCCTGTTCCAAGAGCTCCAGTGCAACCACACTGTCTGCAACATCTATATTGACGCCCTTGGACAGTTTCCTTTATTTCAATGACATTATCTTTTTCGTTGTGGTTCTTCGGTGCAGGCTGTCCGTATGAGAAACAAGCTGGTAATAATGAAATGAGGCTGCGAGCAGCTTGTGGTTTGACTGACTATAACCACACAGAGAGAACTGGATGTTCACACTTATCTCATCAATGTATCTTTTCAATTCCCTCGAGAAACTTCTATATTTCGATTAATGTGAACCAAATGTGTTGTTGGCATGGCTGGATGTTGCTCTTGTTGACCTTTTCACATTTGGCCAAATCTCCTGACCTTTAGTCAGACAACAAAAAGGTGACTTACAGAGGTGCAGCATCACAGTTTGCTGACAGCTTAATTCAATTGGCAATGATATTTGCAATAAAACTGGAATGCAAACCTACTATGACTGTATATTTTGTATTAATTTCTCTGATGTAAAACAAATGTACAAAAATTATCTTTCAGCTCAGTGAGAGGGTTTAGCGATGAATAAATAAACTCTCAACCAGTCACACCACTGGTCTGATCGCTGCTAAGCCAATCACACTGACACAACAGCACAATGCATAGAAAGAAGCTTCTCTTTGTGTGTTTATTCTGTAGCAGCCTGCTGCCACTTGCACATGATTTAAGGTCAACTTACACCTTACACTTTACTGTAACTTACACTTGACGCAGCACATCTCCAATAAGGGATTTAATGGGCTGGAGGAGAAGCTTTCCATACAGATACAGATCAACGCTGCTGTGGACAACAGATACCATAAGAATCACTCATATTCATTCATAGACCACTGCAGGCTGATTTACCACCGTTCCTGCTTCAACCACATTCAACTTTATTTTTGATTTCAAAACCTACAGGCTGCAGAGCGTTTAGTCTTCACCAGGAGTTCATGTATTCAGTTGTGCGTATGCATGTGTGCATGCCTGTCTGTCTGTCCACTGCTAATCTAGCATTCTGCTGGACATTGTCAAACAATGAATCTTCTTTTGTGAAAAATTATATATTTTATGAATTGTATGATATCTACATAGAACAAAATGCCGACATGACAGTGTCAGTTAAATCAACAGTTCACAATGATAGTTGTCTCTTTGCTATTTGATTGTGTCCTCCGGAACTTAATGTGTGCACACAAAAACAATGACTATCTCATTGGGAGGCATCAGTAGTCTTGCTCCCGTATTGCTCCCGTAGTTGTGCCTACGGTGTAGAAATGTGATAGACTCTGAATTGCAAGTCGCTTTGGATAAAAGCGTCTGCTAAATGACTGTAATGTAATGTAATGTAATGTAGTCTTTGTCATCCATTTTTTAGTTCAAAGATTCATTTTGTCACATTTTTACAACACAAGATATTTTGTCGTGAAACATTTGTCACACTAGCGGCACAGTTCTTTGGACACACTGTTCGTTGGTGGGTCGACCACTTTGCTCCACACTGGTTTATCTGGACATTTATCCCACAAAATTCTGTACATTGATTGTTTCTAGATGATACATCTTACTTAACGACTATACAGACATCAGTGTTTTCCACAGAATAAACTGTAATAACTTTGATGATCCTCTGATTTCCAATACTTTGGTTTATGACTAAACACCTGCAAAACTAATGACATTTATCAAAAATAAAAGCAACCATGTTGCTCAATGGCCTCTTGTTATTATATATTTTATTATTTCATTATTATTATTACTGCGCATTAACATATCTTTAATGTTGTAGGTGTAGTGGAACTAATTTGAACTACTTTATATACATATTATATTATATTTGGAAGGTGGTAATCGTTGAAGGAACCACTAACAATAACACCAATATTTTCCACTCAAAGGGACAGTGTGTTGGGTTTGGTGGCATCTAGCAGTGTGGTTGCAGATTGCAACCAACTGAATGAAAACCCCTCCGTGGTATTGGTCGATACGAAGGGCTCATTCTAAGCTAATGAAAACAGAATGATCTTAGTTTAGGTGATTATATGCTAATAAAACCATAGTTATGTTATATTATATATATTATATTCCATTTCTGCTAATCGATCCCCCGAATTGCATTACACTGGCTCTGTAAACACAGTGAAGTAAGTATATAGAAGAATTAAATGGATTGAGTTCCAGTAAAATCAGGACAGTCTCTCCTGAATTCACCGTCTCATGTTCTCTCTCCATTTTACATTGTGAACTCCAATGCTATTATATTTCAGTGTAATTGATCATACTGAAGTGGTTACCATGTAGTGGGCATTTAAACTTGTATTATTATCATAATATTTTATTTATTGTATCTATTATATATTTGTTCTGTTGGGGAGGGGACGGGGAATATGTTCTGTGTCCGTTTTTGCGTTTATCACTTAAAGAAGCCATAAAAAAACTATATAAAAGAAAAAAGTTCCAGAGTAAAGGCATCAATGACATCATAAAGAAAGATCCAAGACACTAGAGGAATAATGGTGCAGACAGACCCTCTGCAAAACAAACACACACCCCTCAGCTGACTAGTGTGTGTGTGTGTGTGTGTGTCTGCTGTCATCTGCAACAAAGAGCCCATTCACCATCAGAGTCCAACACGCTCAGCACCTGTCGGGATGCAGGCCTGTGGAGCACACTGACCGCAGCCGACTAACACACACACACACACACACACACACCAAGCCTCCGCAAGCTGCCTGCTTAATCCTCCGGGTCATGCTACAGACATGCAAGTGAAATACATGGGGTCAGATGACAGTCGGCGACTGCACCACCAAGATTTACGCTGTTGACTTTCTCCTTGGAATCATCAGTGTGCACTATCCAAAGAATCATCACTAAACACTCATACTGTGACTCATCAATCCAGGCCGTGGGTTTCAGTGCCCTGGGCCATTTAAACCACAGCCTATTTTGGGATTATCAGTGAAACTTGTTTTTGGTTACTCGTCCAAATTTAAAATAACTGCATTGAATTCAGGCCACTTGTCCCCGGTCTTGGTGCTGTGTTTACTCGTGCCCCTGTTTGTGTGTTCTGCATGTTGATCACGGAGTACAGTAACAAAGTCAGATTCAGCTGTGACTCTTTTGGATTCCTGCACACGCCTGCTTGTGTGGATCAGCCCTCTGACAGCTGGCCCTCAGCACTTTAAACTGCACAACTGTCTCTGCCTCTCCCGTCTCTCTGCGCTCCATCCTGTTCACATATTAACGTCGGCCCATCAGACACGACGCAGGAAATGCTTTTAAAAGCTTCCGTTCGGGCAGTAAGTCACCCTCAGCCCAAATGAAGAGCGTCCGGTCCCAGAGAGCTAGTGGAACAGGAACTAGTCCAGGAAGTGGTTCCCAGTGTGGGACCGACTCCCTCTTGATCCACTCTGACCTTTTGCCCCTTGACAGTCTGGGCCCAACCCCGGGGGGGTCAGGTCAGCACCTCATCCAGGATACATTCAGACACATGCCGGGCCCAGAGCAACACCCACGGCGGCGGTGAACAAATCTGTCACACACGACCAAAGGTTCACTCAAATTTTGAAAAATGTTCTTTTTCCCCAGACAGAGCGGCGGGAGCAGGGTGTTCAAGATGAGGCCGAGCACATAGTTGAGATAATCCCTTCTCTTGAATTTGGACAGGAAGTCATCCAGTAAATATGACATATTAAACTTTCCCACAGTTTGTTAGATACAGGGGGGGGGACGACAGACAAACAGAGGGAAAAACACTGGGAGAGAGATTTGGTATCCCGTAAATTATTTTCTGACATGCTGGGAAT